CTCCGGATGACATTGTTGGTGTTCTTGAGGTCGATGATGACGGTCTCGGCGGGCGCGTTGGCTTCGTTGTTGACCTGGCGCACGCAAACGTACTTGTCGGACTCGAGTGTCTACGGTGGCTGTTAGCATAACTTTGTCGTGTGCATACACCTTGTGGGATTACGTACGCAGTTTTGCCATGATATCGATGCCGGCTGGACTATGTGTTAGCTGAGGTCCTTGGTTGCCTTGTTCGCGGAAAGCGAGGCCTGGGACCAACGTACGAGAATGTTGAGGTTCGTGAGCTGTCAATTGTTAGCTTCAAGCACTTTGGCATGCAAGGGTCTGATGCGGCACATACCAGCGTCGGCTGAGTGACGTGCAATGGCACCTGTCGCTGGGCCATGTTTGCGACAGTCCAGCTCCAAGCTCACCGGGGTGAGAAAGCGCGCAAGAATCGGGTATCGGAAGAAAAGGAAGAAGTAGACCCAGGTGCACAACTCCAGAAGCGCGTGATAGGAAATGAGAGACGGTCGTATAAGGCGGGGTCGGGGTCGTGGAGGGTGATGCTGTTCGAGAAAGGAGCTCCTGGTGTTGTTTCCACATACGCTGGTTCGCCCTATGCTTGGCAAAGCTCCCGATTAGGTAAAACCCAATTGTGGCAGCTTTACCCAATGACGTTTGCTGCAGCGACCAATCCCGAGTACGCTCACTTTCCACGCCAACGTTTTTGATGCCTTTACCACGTTGGCGAGAAGTCGAAGGGAATATCTCGTCTATCGCACCTTGAATTAGCATTCAGTTCATCATTTCGCGTGTTCGTACAACAGCAAGTCGTGGGGCTAAGTGACGCGGGAACCCGTAGTTCCCCGGCGCGTCTCCGCGCATTGAGCATGAGAACAAAACGCGAATTCCACATTGATATCTCTGGACAACCTTCAAGATGACCCCAAGAACTTCAAGACGATCTCATACAGAGTAAGACATTACATTATACATCAAGGCCATGCTTGTGCTTCCGATACCATCGCAGACTACTCGCACTGAACGTAATCCCAAACATAGCAACCATTACAACCTTCAAATCAAGCATGGCAGATACGAAACTCATTTCCTTGTCTGATCATCACAAGGCCTACAATCCCACTTCCTGGAACTTTGACTCTCGATTTGGACTTCCCTTCCTGGCCTTCTCTGCATCCGAGCCAAATGCTGGGGGTGGTGCCAGGGCTTCATCGAAATGGTCACGCGCTTCCTCGAAGCTCTCGCCAGCAGATGTCGCTGTGGCCCCGCTTACAACACGTTCTGCAGACCTCCCACGTGCCAAGCTGAATTCATCTTCATCGCCAGACAGAGATGAGACGTCTGAATAGCGTTCTTCCTTGACGACACCAACGTGAGGAACATACGAAGGCTCAACATGACCCAAGTCCTTTGGGCGATCGGCCTCACCAGATATGCGGCTGTCTATCGATTCACGAGCCGGTTCGCTAGCGCTCTTTGAAGAGAGAGATTGAGACTGGGGTTGTGAGACGGAGTTTCGGAGAGTCGCGCCACCGATGAAGCCAGGCTCTTGTTCTTTGGTAGTACCTTCGGTCTCTGCCGCAGGAGCATGCTTGGAACGCCTCTTCAGTTTGCTCAAGAGTGACTTGAAACCCTTGGAGGATCCTTGGGACGTCGGCGAGGTTGGATCGGCCGAATCGTGCTCCGGTATGGGGTGAGCTTCTGTGAGCTCTGCCTCTTCGTACAGATCCTCGTTATCGCGTGGAGTTTCATTGGCCACCACTGCAGGTTCAGCCGTGGTGATCTCTTTTGATTTGCGTTGTTCTCCTGCAGTCTTGGTCTTCTCAGCTTCCTTTGCCTGTTTCGCTGCTAGTTTCTCTTCGGCAGCCCGCGCTTTGGCAGCCCTCTTCTCTTCGTCTGTCAAAGGTTAGTATTGTGAGAACTATGCGATGATGAATACGTACCCCTGCCCTGCTTCTCCTCTGCCTTGATCTCGGCGGCACGCTCTTTCTCCGTTCGGATGCGGCGCTTCTCTTGCTCCTGGTCAAGTCGGCGCTCTTCCTCCTCAGCACGTCGTCTCTCGTCCTCGGCACGGCGCTTATCCGTCTTCTCGGTGATCTCGTCCAATGTAGGCTGAATCCTCGCTTGGGCAATAGCATCAATGTCTCCTTGGTCCATCCATTTACCGTTACCGATGTGTACTCTTCCGTGATTTTCCATACGGGTTTCAGAGTTGGCTAGGGCTCGCTGTCGCGCCTTCTCATCCCAATCGTCCACCATTGCGGATGACATCTTGCCAGTCTTATCATAGATCTGCTTATCCATGCCCTGCATTTGAGCTTGTACCTTGCGCTGTGCTGCAGCAAGCAAGGACTTGCGGTCGTTCTCGCGTTTCTTTGCATCGACATCAGCCAGCTGTTTGTTGAATTGGTCCATCTGCGTGCGAATTCGTCTTGAGCGGAAGTCGTCTTCGTCAGAATCCGAATCTTGCGCCGGAGCTGTCTCGGAAGCGCTGTGCGCGCGGTTGCGTCCACGCCGCATAGAGAGCTTCGAGCGTGTCGGCTGATCATAGCCGTAATAGCTTCGGTAAGCGGCGTTCTCGTCGTATCCTATCTTGGATAGTCTTTCTTGTGCGAGCTTCTGCGCAGCCTCCTGGATCCCAATATAGCGCATAGCTTGCTGCTTGATGTCGGCCTCGCCGGTTGCAGGCTGTTGACTATGGGCTGCCGTCGCTCCTGTACGGGCAATGGACTGGCCTGATGCGCCATCAATGTGTTGCTGCTGCACATCGTAAATCTTCTTGGCCATGGAAATGGCGGAAGCTCGAAGGGCATCGTTATGCTTCTTCTCTTCCGTCTCTAGTGCAACTGGTGGAGCGCTCGTGTACATGTCGCGCGAGATGCTCTTCGCATGCTGGATACGTGCGGCTTCCATAGCACCATAGCCGCCGCGACTGGAGTCAACAGGAGTTGCTTGAGGTTTGGCCCGGGTCGATGCACTGTGGGCAAGCGTTGCTGCGCCCAATGCGTTCCTTGCAGAGTTCTTTGAGTCTGGATACAGCGGCGCAGTGGGTGGGTTTGATTGAGCGCGCTTGCGTCTTGATGCCGAGTGGGCGTCGGTGGCTGCAGTAAAGGCATTCTTCCTGCCCTGGTCTGTATATCCGTAATCCACGTCTGCGCTGGGTGCTGCCTTGCGCATAGCGATGGTAGCAGCAGAATGACCATCAGCACTAGCTTCAGGCTGCCATAGGTTCAGCTTTCCGCCATCTCTATGGGCGAGAAGCGCGGCCTTTGAGCCTGCTGCGCTTGCTTCTGGCTGCCACATGGGCGCCATCTTGTAACCGTTTGCGAGCAACGCAGCCTTGCCTGCCGCGGAAGATTGTTCGGGTTTCCACCACTCCGGGCTCTTCTTGTTCTGGTTGGCGAGTAATGCGGCGGCTCCGGCAGAGGACTGTGTATCAATTCCCACCACGGGGTAGCTGGGAAGGTCTTGGACTTTTGCGTATTTGAGGCTCGTCGCAGCGCCTGTGGATCTCTGTTAGGGTATGATGTAATGCGGTAATCATAACATTGCACTCACTGGCCGACGAGAGCTTTCCGTCTGCTCCGAGCGGATTGATGGGCTTCGACACGTTTGCTTTGGCAGGGCTACCGTGGTTGTGCGAGTAAAGCGCCGCTGCCGACGCCTGGTTTTGCAATGCGCTGGTCTTTGGATGCTGATGCGCGGATGGGTCAGGGCAACGCATGTTCGTCTCGGCGGAGGATCGCGGTGGAGCCGCCTGTTCCGATTGCTTCAAGGGTCTGCTGTCAGACGCGGGGGGCGCGTCCGTGGTAAGGGCTGTCGTCGCCATTGTGAAAGAGCGGGTCGAAGCAAGACGGGAACGTGTCAGGCGCTGCTTCGGGGGCGATCACAAGAAATAAGAGGGAAAGGCAAACGCCAACTAGGGTCACACACAGCGGCGCCCTCCATGGCTAAAATGACGAGAGGACGGCGATGATGTCATATCAACCTTGAGCTCTACCTAGGCCTGTGGAGGATCGCCGTAAGGGTGCGTTCCGCGTCGAAATCTCACACTAGCCTTACCACTCCAGGCCTGGTTCTAGCCTGAGCCCGACATAGCCTTGCCTGTCCTGATTGAAGCCAGCGACGGACTCACCGAAGCAGTCAAATCATGTACCAAGTGCGTCGAGGGTTCATCCTGTCTGTCAGCACCCTGGTGCACATCTGAAGATCACAGCCCTGCGTCGAGTGAACGAAGAACATCAGCGTACAGAACGTTACACTTGGCATAGTGGAACATAGCGGCACGACATGCAAGGAACAAACTGAACATGTGCTCCACCGTCTACACGGCCACAAAAACTGAAATTCGCAAGTATCCCAAGGTGATGTAGAGTTCTGAGAGGTAGGTGTTGAAATTGCCCTTGCACACCGTGGTGGCCAGGTTTCTTTCTTCAAATGTATGCATAGGCGACGGATATTTCCAGACGGTGTCGTGATTAGGTTCGCTGATCGCGACAGCGCAATCCGGATATCAAGTGAGCTACGAAGATGGCGCGCTTCCATCCTGATTGTTGTAGTGATGTACTTCCGTCTACTGGTGCGTGTTGGTTTCAGCGACAAGCTCGGGAGACAAAGCCGGGTTAGATGCGGTTAGTGTGAGCTGACTACGTCACCGAGCTTTAACTTTCCATCTTGATTCAACAGACAGCTACCTAGGTATACCACCAATTTTAGTCTGTCGGCTGTAGTAAACATGGCTGAACTGCAAACGCCACTCAAGAGTATCTTGAACTTTCGCGATGTCAGCCAGTTTGTCAATGAAACAACAGGAACTAGGTAATCCACCGAAGCGCCTTGAGATTAGTCTTGCGCTGACCGTGCTGCAGCCGTCTAAGGAACGGCTTACTGTTCCGAAGTGCACGACCTGGTGCGTACCTCCCACACATGCCTTGGCGCGAGGTTGACTTTTGAAGATGAGGCCTCTTTCCAAGACAGGCAGAGATTGCTGAAGGAATATGGCGTGAAGAGCATCATCGATCTACGAACGAAGTAGGTAGACGCGACGCTCAGGAGCTGACATCGTGTTGACCGGTTAGAACAGAGCATATCGAACAGGCGCAAAAGCACGATGCAAGAATCAAAGCGTCAGCAGCAGTCCCTCAAACCAACGACGACGCAGCGGAGCCCCTCAAGATACCCGGCATAATCTACCACGAAATCAATTTCAATGGCTCGGCCTTCTCGCGCATGTTGCTTTCGAAACTCACATGGCTTGAGTTCTTCAGGCTCGCAGGGCTCATGATTGTCGGCTACCGCAAGGATGCGATCAAAATCTTAGCTCCTCACATGGAAGACATGGGTCTTGTCGGACTGGCCGAGCAGTCGCTGGACGTGTGCACCCGCGAAGTCACACAGGTCTTTGATGTATTAGGAGAAGAGAAGAACTGGCCAGTTTTGGTCCACTGCACGCAGGGCAAGGACCGAACCGGGCTCATAGTCATGCTGGTCCTGTTGCTCCTCGGTGTGGATCAAACCACTATCGACGAAGACTATCGCCTATCCGAGCCAGAACTCGAGCCAGAGAGGGAGGGAAGGCTGAAAGAGATGGCATCAATTGGTCTGACCGAACAGTTTGCGATATGTCCCCCAGACTTGGTAAGCCATGTAAACTCTTATATGGTCGAGAAGTACGGCAGCGTGGAGAAGTACCTGGAGAAAGCCGGTGTGGCCAAGGAGAAGGTGGACTTTGTTAGGGGGAAGCTACTAGCGGACGCGTCGAGGTCCTGAGCTCCAGGGCTTGCCCCGCCCTTATGCTAGAACCAAGCTTGGCAAATCTGAAAATTGTTCCCATCTGGACAAAGTTGTCGTTAATCTTGGTGAAAATAAAGGGTCCTCAGATCATACACGTGTATGACCGAAGAAGGAACGAGCCTATATGTTGGTGAGAAAGCCTATCGCGTAGACTAGAATTCATGGCAAGATACTGGACGTTGAGGTGTGGGTGATTGTGAACTTCCGCCCCACACGCCTTATCAACAAGGCAGAGTTATGCTGGCAATGTTGCAACGTATGTCGCGCCAATCCATGGGAGTCGCCGTCGGTGTGCTGGGAGTGGTCTGAAGCTAGGCTACGAGTCGACCTCCTGCAGGGCCAGTGCAGGGGGGGCAGGCGCAACCCCAGTGCGTTCGCTTAGTAGATTCACCGCCGTTAAAGGCTCGGGATCCCAACACGTTTACCTCCCATCTTGCAAAATTGCTCCGCGGTACGCAAGATGAGCAGCAATACCTCTGAGGAGAACTTCGAGTGGGTTGAGACGCCGCCGGCGCCCTCGCCCACGACGCCCGAGTTCGACTGCGGCGTCAAGACGACATCGGTATGTGGTTGCATGTGGTCAATTTAACGAGCACCCCACCAGCCATTGAGCGTCAACACCGCGGGCCCGTAAGCTGACATTTGGCGATCAACAGTACCCGACCATTGCGAATGCTCCTCTGCCCGCTGAAGGTTCCGGTCGCGATTCGTTCAACAACTATGCCCTCATCTCGCTGTTGGTGGGCGTCCCCGCCTACATCACCTGGAGCTGGGGCATGGGCTTCAAGACATGGGTTTTCCTCGCCCTTGTCCTCTTCCTCCCCATTCTAGGTCCCTTCTGGTGGCTCACCTCTGAGTTCGCGCCCCGCAAGAACGAAAAGGCCAAACTGCCCGGCAAGCCCATCGAGCACTACCTCAAGTTCAACAAGCCCGAGGACCGCGACGCATACTACGGCAAGAAGCAGATCCCCATCGAGACGTTCCAGGAGAAGTACTTCGACGGCGAGGTAGAGCTCAATGGCGACATGCTCGAGATCCTCGAATGGCGCCACGACTGGTCCAAGCCCCGCTTCACACTTGGATTGATCAAGCACTTCCTGTTTGGCATGATTCCCGAGATGATCGTCCACTCCAGGTCCCAGGGTACGTGTCTAGACGATTTATCGACTGATGATATGCTGACCCCGCTTCAGACGAAGAACAGGTACGCGACCACTACGACCGCGGTGACGACTTCTACGGCTGGTTCCTCGGCCCACGCATGATTTACACCTCCGGTATCATCTCCGACATCAACACCGAAGAGAGCCTCGAACAGCTCCAGGACAACAAGATGTCAGTCGTCTGCGAAAAGATCGGCCTGAAGAAGGGCGAGAAGATGCTCGACATTGGCTGCGGTTGGGGAACCCTCACCAGGTTCGCCTCCGTGAACTACGGCGCTCACGTCACTGGTGTCACTCTCGGTCGCAACCAGACTGCTTGGGGCAACAACGGCCTTAGGAAGTCTGGCATCGAAGAGAGCCAGTCCAACGTTCTCTGCATGGACTACCGTGATATTCCCCTTCCTCCTGGTGGCTACCAGAAGATTACCTGTCTCGAGATGGCCGAGCACGTCGGTGTCCGCCACTTGAGCTCCTTCTTCCGCCAAGTTTACGACATGCTCGACGACGATGGTGTCTTCTTCCTCCAAATCGCTGGTCTCCGTAAGGCTTGGCAATTCGAGGACTTTACCTGGGGTCTCTTCATGAACAAATACGTCTTCCCCGGTGCCGACGCTTCTACTCCCCTTGGTTTCGTCATCGACACGCTCGAGGGTGCTGGTTTTGAGGTCAAGATGGTCGACACCATCGGTGTACACTACTCTGCTACTCTCTGGAGGTGGTACCGCAACTGGCTCGCCAACAAGGAGAAGGTTGTTGCCAAGTACGGCATTCGATGGTTCAAGGTAAGCAACGGGTCGCGTACTTATGTTGCCAGATGCTAATCATGTCCAGATCTGGGAATACTTCCTCGCCTACTCTACGATCGCCTCCCGCCAGGGAACTGCTACCTGCTTCCAGATCACTTGCGTCAAGAACCTCAACGCTGTTCACCGCATCGACGGTATCAACACCCAGTTCAGTCTGTCTGCTGCGCTCGCTGCTAGCAGGGCGAAGCTGTCCAAGGCGCAGTAAGCTTCACGTGTAACGATGTATCCGGATTTCGCCAAGTCTCGTACGCATAATACAACACGAGTACGATAGCAGAGGAAACATATAAGAAGGCTTTCAGGATCTACGAGAAGGAGACGTGGGGGTGGTTCAGATAGGGGCTGAAGTAAGATGGTAGTCAGTGGCCGAAGCCGTTGGTTTGATACAGCCCACAGGGCTTGTCAACATTCATGAACATGAGAATATGCACACTCATGGAAGGATTATGTATCTTGAGAAAGCACAAACGAACGTTACGCATCTCACTGTCTGTCCCGTGCTGACCTTACCAAATGAGTTTGAAAACACAAGCCACACTGGCGTCTCCACTCCAACGGCCGATTCTGCCTGATGCGTTTGATTCTAGCTGCTATTCTATGGACGCAAACTATCCCCAATTGTGTTTCTTCTCCACTCGGCACTGCGGGTTGTCCCCACGATACCTTTACTTTGACTCATATTCCCCACTATGTTACCCTCATCTTTTACCAACTCCCAATATTCCCAAATCTTCCTGGTTTTTGCCAACTATAGTTATTTACCAATTCCAAAATTTCCCATCAAAACAGATCACCAAGGGTAAGCATCACTGCACAACCACCCCCCTGTCGTACAGTAAAACTAACAGCCCTACCGTGGTATGGTCTAGTGGTATGACGTCGCGTTGTGGCTGGCGGACAACTTAGCTTGTCCCGATCCAGATCCGCGCCAGCCTGGGTTCGAGTACGTTTGAACCTCCTAAATTGAGTCGGTTTACTGAGACATTGTTCGCTAACATGTCTATAGTTCCCAGTACCGCCAATTTGCGACACTTCTTTTTTGCAGATTTTTTCGGCTCTTCCTCTTCCCCGACTTGAGTGCTTGGGTGAGCGTTAGTAGACGGGAGAAATGATGACCTTTTGCTCTCTTATTGCTTTTAGGTCATTCAGTTGTAGTGTTTGCTACTCGTGTGAAACTGTGGATTGGGACTAAGTGCTTCTGGTAGCATTTAAGGATTCGATCTTTATTCTGTGCATATTCCAGAAATTCCTGTTCTAATATAGAAGTTCGAGGCTGAGGTCTATAAGTACCTGTCGTATTTGAGCCCCATCGCAAGTACAACTTCTAGATGCTCACACTACCAGCTATGGTGTGTGACTCTAGCCAAGTAAGAGCACGAGAAGACGGAGTCATGATCAATGAGCAGTACATGTCACTTGATGATAACGGTAAATGGCATGCAAAGCTTCACGTGAAGCCAATAATTTTGATCCATTCCGGACGCCCCATACCGTCCACAAAGTCTAGCAATACCCCAACACGCCATAGTTGCGCAAGACTGCAACGTGATCTCCGAGGCTTTCACGCCTCTATAACAACAATTTTCACCTCTTCCACCCACTTTCTTCCAGCACAGCCAACCTCCTCCCTATACTGCCAAAGCACACACAACTGCAAAAGAGAACACTGCCCACCCACGTCACCACAGCCAGGTTCTCGTAGCTGATCATGCCAGCGAAGAGCTCTGGTGTAACGACTGGTGCTGGCCTGCCTTTTGCATGTGTATGACTGCCCATGGAAGGAATTTGTGTAGCGTTTGTTGTGGCTGGTAGAGACGGCGAGGGAAGGACGTCGGGGTTCGAGAGGAAGATGAAGGATGTGAGGATGGACGTGACGGTGAGTGAGACGGAGAGACCGGGTTTCGAGCGATCAAGTATGTACCAGAGAGCGGGATTGACGAGGGCGAGTGTTAGGGTGAGTTGGAGGGTTGATTGCCAAGGGAGACGGCGCTGTGGGAGAGTGTTAATTAGGGTCGATGTGTGTAGTCAAGTGGTTCATGAGACTTACGATAGCGAACGCGATTCCTACAAAGGCTGCTACGCTCCTTACCACATCGTTGATCTGCTCGCTGATGGGTGAATCGTGCGTCTCAGTCTCCTTGTCTCCATTCTCGTCCTCTCTCCGCTGCGCATCCCACACGAGATCAACGTATGGTAGCAGACTTCCCAGGGCAACCCCGAACAACCCCCAGGTGGCAAGGTAGGTCTGGCTCTTTTGATCAACACCTTCAACATGGACAGCTGCCAACTGCCTTGTCTCGTGCAGATGCGAGACAATGACTCCGTAGATGACGCCAAAGACGTATAATGCTACGAGCTTGCCCAGAATCACGACGTATCTCCAAACGCCGTGGCGCGGTTGCTTGACCGAGTGACTCCTCCGCCTTCCTTCGACTTTGCCCATGGCGGACCCTTTCCTGGCCTGTGTCTTCAAGCTCAGTCCGCCATCAGGACTTCCCATGCCCGTTTCCCAGGGCTGGAAGCCCATGGCAGTGTGTGCGGGGGTCTCGGAGCCAGTGCCCCAGGGCGTTTCCGCCGTGCTGAGTTCACCCGCCGTGTTCGCGCCCGTCTCGTCGTAAATGCCGGATAGCGTGCTGCTCGTCATGTTCAAGTAGCTCTTGTTCCGCGGCGGCGGCCCCCTCTCCCTCTCCTGGTCTTCCGAGTCATCGTCGCGCGAGTTGAAGGTCCTGAGTAAGCGCGCATTGAGCTGCGCGAGGAAGTCAGACGATCTCCGGTTCTCGGTCGCGCTCGGAGGCGTGGCTTGTGAAAAGGCGTGCGTGGGCGAATCGGCCGTGTCGTTATGGGATTCGAAGTTGCGACGCGGGATGGGGCGGTAAATGTGCAGCGGAGGTGGCGCCGCTCTCGCTTTCGAAGCGTCTTCTTCCATAGCCGTCGCGCTTCAGTTCCGTCCTGGGCAGGGTCCCGCAAACTTCGTTGTTGTGTCGACCGCTGCAATGTATGCTTGCAATTACAATACAAGATAAAAGTAATACCAACAGCGAGCGTAAAGAAGAAAAGACAGGCGCGCTACCAGTCGCCGCACAATCAGATGCGCGTACTCGTATAACTGTTGCGGTGTTAGCACGCGAGGGCAAGTTGAACTCTAAACCCCGAGTCAGTGCACGTGAACCTTGAGCGTGTGCTGGCCTTATACCGGCATAATACTGGAGCCTCGCAAACATACCTCGTATAGGCAATCAAAGCAATACTGAGAGCGGAGAAATCGTACAACGTGCAGTGAGGGGACAGTGAGGCAAATGTAGGCTAGCACGCTGATCTGACGTTGGCAGGCCAGCTTCTTGCACATGTTACAGAATGGCTTTCATGTGAAGATCGGCCTACTTTCCGCCTGCGTGACCCGCTGTCATCCGCATTCCCAACAAATCCAGTGGATGTACATGTTTCATTATATGCGGCTACACTGTGCTGGAGAACGTACTGATACACAAGACGCTCGCTCCCTAGTGACGCTAGCCCTCTGCTGTCATGGCTTCGAGATGCTGTCTAAAACACAGCTGCGAGAAAACCACTTTTGGTGCCCATCTCCAAGCGCAACCGACTCCGGCAGAAAATGCTAGGAACCAAATGCACGTGTTTTGCCGTCATAACGCTGATGTCTACGTCGTCCCTTCGTAAAGTTTGTCGTTCCACTCCTCGAGAGCTACCCCACTACGCGCCATGCCCGCTCAGTCGACGATAGGTTGGAGAATGTTACCACTAATGAAGATGTCAGCTCGTGGACGCAACTAGATATGCCGTGAAACTTACGCTACGATGTTGGCCCAGCCGATGAGACGCCAGTGCTTCTCGATACGTCTGGACAACGCCACCTTCTCACCGATCTCTGTGCATGCAGGTGAAGTGAGGGACAGACGGGCAGCGTCAGCCTTGACAGCAACAACCTTGGCACCGGTAGCGGTTGACCCAATGTTGACCATCTGCGCGAGTGTTAGCTTTGTCATCTGCCATCGTGGATAGAAACTTACCAAGACTTCGTTCTTTGCAAGCTTGGCTACCTTGGCCTGCTTGCCGTCTGCAGTCTTGACACCAAGCAATCTCCGGAGGAGGAAGTAGTTGACTTCGAGTTCAGTGTAGATGTTGGGAAGGTGTCCACGGAGACCTAGGACGAAACCAACGAGACGATCCGCACGGCACAGAGTAGGGTCAACGCGTGTACCGACACCTGTTGTGTGTTAGTTGAGTGGTGCATGAGTCTGCAGGAATCGTCACGTACCGATCAGTCCTCCCGGAACGGCGAACTTCAAATCGTTGTGCTCGGCAAACAGAGACACTACTCTTGAGAAGATAGGCTTGCACTGAATCTTTCCGGCGCTGTCCTTTGACACGATACCGGGCCTGATCTCAATCTCGTCTCCCAGCTTCAATACACCGGTCAAGATACTGCCACCAGCAACACCACCCTTCAGCTCATCGATTTCAGCACCAGGCTTGTTGACGTCAAAGGATCGAATGACGATCATGTGGGGCTTCGCGGAGAAGTCTCGTACTGGGACGGGGATCTTGCTGATGAGGTGCTCGTTGATGGCATCGATGTTGAACTTCAACTGGGCAGAAATGGGGATGATAGGCGAGCCATCGGCGACGGTTCCACGGATGAACTTGAGAATGGATTCGTAATGCGACGCAGCGCTGTCCTCCCGCATCAGGTCGACCTTGTTCTGAAGAATGATGATGTGGTTCAGCTTCATGATCTCAATGGCAGCAAGATGTTCACTTGTCTGCGGTTGCGGGCAAGTTTCGTTTCCAGCGATCAAGAGTAGCGCAGCGTCCATGACGGCGGCACCTGACAACATAGTACTCATGAGAATGTCGTGACCGGGGCAGTCGACGAAAGAGACGTGGCGCTTCAGTCTGTATTTGCCTTCGCATCCTTCACGCTCACACGCGGGGTCGACCTCCTTGTCGCTCTTGTATGACCGGTAGCATGTTGGGCGCGGGCACTCTGGGTTATCGCATTGGTAGATCTTCGCGTTGGCGTAACCGAGCTTGATGGTAATATTCCTCTCGAGTTCGTTCTTGAAACGGACTGTCTGCACACCGGAGATGGCCTTGACGACAGTACTCTTTCCGTGGGCGACGTGGCCAATGGTTCCAATGTTGATTGTGGCTTGGCGGGAGATGATCTCGGGCGACAGCGGGTTCAGCGTGGTGAGGTCGAGGGTGCTTGGGTCTGGTTGTTCGCTTGTGCGCGTTAGCTATGCAGCGCAGAGCCTCATGTCTTCAACACCTACGGAAGCTCTGGGCGCACGACGGGCGCCGCGGGTTCGCGGCCCTTCTTCATTGCGGACTTGGGCTTCGTCTCCTCAATCTCCTCATGTTCCGACATGCTCTCGTCATCGCGGTGGTCGTGGTCGGATTCGGACTCCATGCTGGGCAACTTGGGATTGAGTTTGGGGATCGGGGCGTAGTTGGTTTGGTGGTTTCGGATGAGGTATTAGACTGGTCAGTCGAGCAGCTGCGGTGGTGGAGACTGGCGGCAGGCAACTTTCGACTTCAAATCCCACACAAAGTGACTCAAACCCAAATCCGGAACAGCCCACCTGCCTGTGGCGGGGCTGCGTGCTGCGTCCAAGCGTCCCGGCCAAAGGTTCCGCCGGCCTGCTGAAGAAAATCTCAATCGCGGCCGTCCCTGCCTTTCCTCTTCATTGAACAACGCAAACAAATTGCACACTCACGAAAAGCATTTTCTTTGGAGAGACCCGTCGTCTATGGACGGTGTGAGGTCTCCATGAGAACGAAAACCGTCTGTGAAGTGGAGAGGAATACTTTGGCTGATCTTGGGTGCGGTTTCTCCCTGCTTTTGCAGTGGGAGAGAGCGCAATGATTGGTCGTACATTACAGTTGACGTGATGGATGTGAAGGTGAGAGACTTCTCCATGGATGTGATGTTTCTCGGTAGCGACGCAGTCCTGGGCATAACCTCTTCGGACACTGCATGCTCATGATGAAATGTGCGATGCGACATCGCCACAAACTGGCTGTGCACTGGACAACGTGGCTCCGTTGAAAGATCTACATAAGCAGAGGTATCTCAGCCACACGAGCCAGATGTCGGGCTTCCTGGCCAGATGTTTAGGTGCTGGGATGTACGCTGCGGTTTAACGCCTCAGGGCGGGAAAGATAATGAACGACGCGGAACTCGAATGAGCAAGTGCCCCTTGGTGCCCTCTCCTACAGGGTCGTTAAAGCAAAATCACCTCATCATCTTGTCGAAATGTCTATATATCTTTGAGACACTGGTACCTTCTGCTTGTGTCAGAGTGTCCCTCGTACGCCTACACATCTTATGTCAGCTGCATGTGAGATGCTACGTTCATTTTATAAACTTCCAATGCTGCACGCCTGAGTGAAGTTGTTTGTGTCCCGATGCTCTTTGTGAGTATAGCATGGATGCTGCCATGTCCACAGGTCTGTTTGCGACTAGCTCACATCGTGCCAAACCCCATCATCCTGGCCATGGTAAACCCGCATGCCATTGTATAGTAATCTTGGAACGACTGTCTGGTAGAGCGCCATTAGGTCAGCTGCATCTACAGATCGACCTACCCCTGGGACGCAAAACACGGCTATCCTGGGAACGAGGGCTAGCACGATCCGCTAGTACTGGTAGAGCTACGGGCTGGGGAAGCGGGATGCTATCATCCCATAGCATCGAGAAGCACGGATGGATAAGCAGGCCGCGAAAGAGCATGTTGATCCTCCATCTTGGCCCAAACCATCTGGACAGCATACGTCGAAGATATTGGGTTGCTCCATGTAGATACCAGATGCGAAGGCCAGGCCGTCGTCGTGCGCCGCCCCATCGAGAGCGGCGCCGGTATCCCGCTTCCTAGCTGCATGGTAACGACGGAGTTTAGATGTACCGTGTGGGCTCAGTTGTTGATCTGACACAGCCAGTTCAGAACCTCCCACAAGCGCGCCGTATCGGGAACCCTTCCGCTTGCTTTTCAGGCTGAAACATATCAACTCGTCGACTTGGGGCAGCACCGGCCTCGAGACTGTCATTGGCCCAGACGCCCTCTGCGCGAGAGCCGGCGAGTCTGCGTTGGCAACCCTTGTTGCTCGAGATTGGCCCACCTCCTCCGACAACGTTGGCGCTGCCTTGCTTTTGCGCCTTTGCGCTCGCCGACTATGGGATATGGATTCTGATCAAGCGCATGAATATGCATACAACCCCGGCCTCTCCGTTTCACACTGGCTGCAGTCGACTGAGCTCGACCATGCCGACGACGACGTGGGAACCTCGCCCGAGCACTACTACTCCGCCTACACCACGACGACCGAGCACGCAGCAGCACCTCCCTCACCGCAACGCGGCCTCGACATGCCCGCAGCGCGGCAGCGGCAGCCCATGACGAACGGCGCGCGCTCCACCTCCAAAGCGGCCGTGAGGTCTGCCTCGAATCCTGCATCGCCGCCCGCGGCCACTCGCTCCTCCCCCCAGGTCTCCAACAAAGTGAGGGCCCTCGCCGAGCGCTTCGAGCAGTCGCCCACCAGCAGCTCGACGGCGACCTCGCCTGCCGTGCGCTCTCGCTCCAGGACGCCGAGCCGGGCTGGGGCGGGCACGCACGACGTCGCCCGGCGTGCGCATGCCTCGATCTCGTCGACAGCATCGGCTGCACGCCCGAGCAAAGAGGCCTCGTACGGGCCGCACAAGTTCAACAACCTCAAGCCGCGCGACAGGCCCCAGCCCGCCCCGGCATCGCCTCGCAACGCGCGCCGCACGAATGGCAGCCGGAGCAGCATCGACCACCACGTCTCGTCGACGCCCAAGAAGGTGGCCTCGCCGAATCGGGCGTCTGCACCCAGCGGGCGGCAGCTGTTTGGCGAAGTGCTGACGGGCCAGGACGTGCTCTCGCCAGGCTT